CAAAAATAATATGAAAACAGGGAGGTGGACAAAACATAAGAGACTCTTAAATACAGAGAACAAACAGAGGGTTGCTGGAGGGATTGTGGGAGGATGGATGGGCTAAATGGGTAAGGAGCATTAAGGAAGACACTTGGGATGAGCACTGGGTGAGAGGATGAATCACTGGAATTCACTCCTGAAATCATTGTTGCACTATATGCTAACTTGGATGCAAATTTTTAAAATAAATAAAATAAATAAATAAATATTCTTGTTTCTCCTTTGCAAAAAGTTTTTTCATAAATAGATGTTGGATTTTATCAAATGCTTTTCCCGTGTCAAGTTACACGATCATACAATTCTGATTTTAATCTACTGTGACAAATTACAATTTTTGATCAAATCAAAGATTTCACCAATTATAAAGCATACCATTATGTGTTCCAATAAGGAAGGAAAAAACAACTATCCATTGAATATTCCAATTTAAGATACAATTAAGAAAAAACAATGGTGGGCATTTTAGAATTCATAAAAATACAAAGTAATTTATAAAGATAAAACTGCCATGTATCCCTGGGGTTAAACATAGATGTGTGATACGTTCAATTTTTTAATATCTAATGGCTTTTAATTTGCTAATATTTTTGCATATTCATGATTGAGATTGGTTTTAATTTTTACTTCTGTACTTTCCATGAGATTTTGGTGATGAGCTTTTATGTGAAACTGGCATTTTTCTCGCTGAATGTTTAACAAAACTCACTAATAAAACTCTCTGGGCTTGGTGCTTTATTCATGGGGAAAAGTTTTGACTATTAACTGAATTTTTTAAAGGTTATATGACCATGATTTATATATCTTGCTGAGCCTATTTGCTACACTACTTTTTTCTCAGTCCTTTTATCAAAACTTTTCAAATTCATTAGCACATAACATTATTCAAATTTTCTCAATATTTTAAAATCAAGGCATAGGACTTTAACAGTTCTTATTGTTTACATCATCTTTTTTTCTAATCAAACTTGCCTAAGTTGTCAATTTTATTACTCTTTTTAAAAAAATGTTTATTATTTTGAGAGAGATAGGGCTAGCAGGGGAGGGAAAGAGAGGAAGAGAGAGAATCCCAAGCAGGCACCATGCTGTCAGCCTAGAGCCTGACGTGCGGCCTGATCTCACGAACTGTGAGATCATGACATGAACTCAAGAGTCGGTTGCTTAACCGAGCCACCCAGGTGCCCTGATTTTATCACTCTTTGAAGCCCAACTTTGGGCTTTCCTTATTTTCTCATGGTATGGTTCTTAATTTCTTCTGTTGCCTTTATTATGTCCTTCTTTCAGTTGGAAGCTTAGCTCATGAATTTTCAGCCTCTTCTTTCCTAATATAAGCAAGGAAGGTAATACTTGCATTTTCTCCTAAATGCTTAGAAGATGCCACAGGTTTTTCTTTTTTTTTTTCTTGCTCTTCCTTTTCTTTCTTTTTAACAGCACTAAGTACTTTTTTTATATATATATAGAACTTAATAATTAACGAAAAATGACTTCCATTCTCATGGCACTTTTATACAAGAACTTAATAAAAGAAAAAAATTGAGAAGCTCTTGCTGTGAAAAAAGAATGATGCTGCTGCTCTGAAGGGATGAAATGTACTCTAAGCGGCCTGGTTCCAACTGCTAACCTCTTTCCTCATTGACATTTTCTAGAATGAGAAGCATGATGCTGTGCATACACTCATTCAAAGATGTTAGAGTCCTTAACAAAGCTCCTTCGGTATCCATCACTATTAATCCCATTTAGATGTTTTCCTCCTCGTGTAACTGTGCCTATCAATAGCTTCCTAGAGTTTCTTTGTATTCTCTAGTCACACTGTAGATAACCAGTCCAAGTTGCCCAAAGCGAAAGGGTTATCAGTGCAAAAGCCATTATAGGTTTGTCAGGTTTACGAAGAGCTCTGGATTCACAGCTCCTATTAAGGTTGCTGTGCAGACCCCTGAGCCTTGGGTTTCAAAAGTCTCTTTGGGTGGTTCCTTTTTACGCATCATCCTTGCACAGGGGCCGTGCTGATCTTCTCTGTATCATTCCAATGTTAGTATATGTGCTGCCAAAGTGAGCACTGGGTGGTTCCTTTTTAAAGCAGGGAGGCTCAGGTGCTAAAGAACATCTTGACTAATGATGATTCATTACCTGCCATGAGGTCACCTCCCCTGTGTGCCTGCTCCGCTCCCCACAAGTTTCTATATGTAATATTTTCATTAAGTTCCGAATTATGTCCTAACCTCCATTATAATTTCCTCTTTCATCTGAGTTATTTACACCTCACAGGGTTGGGTTTTTAATATTTATTATTTTCTTTATATTTTTTATCCTAACTATACACATAGATGTTCTGATAGCTTTCTTATTACTTCACAGTGAATGAGTGCCTCAGTCCCCTTTGCCCCAGCCTTAGTCTCCAGGGCTCTGTTATGAGAGTAGATGAGGTTTTGTCCTACACAGGTGAGTGGTGTTAAGTAAAAACAAATCCAGATTTAGGTACAGAAAGACTTTATTGGAAAAGATTGTGGAAATAAGGAGAATGCTCTGACCATAAGATCTGCAATTGTCTCAAAGATCAGGTGAAACAGAGCTTTTTATAGAAAGGAGTATATAAACAATGAATGAAAAATCCGAGTGTGAAGGAGATAAGCAGGTGACATAATGGGACAGTTGATCAGGGAAAGTCTTTTAGTGATCAGTTAATTTGTGCGAGGTGTCACTCAGGAGAGACTATTCCACATCCAGTGCAGGCTCAAGCTGAGGGTGGATTAAAATTCAGGGGCTTATGCGGGGAGAAGCCTAAAGTTTGATCAAGTCATTAGAGGGTATTTTGTCCAGATTGGTCTTTGGGAACAAAGAGATCAACTAACCATTTATGAGACAAAGAATGGGAATTGGGAGATCTGGGTCTAGCTTCGTCACAGGTGAACAAAGTCATATGGGAAAAGATGGTTCTTTGCAATAAGCCATTGCCTGGAATAAAATAGGAAGGAGGAACCAAACTGCTAACTGTTTTCTAGGAGCACAGCGTTCATTAAATTGTCGGTAGCCAGGTTACCCACAGGCAAAAGACAGGGAGATGGGTTGGGCACTGTTTTACATGTCACACAACTACCTCTCTACCTTTAGCCATGTCCTGAATGGGAGTATCTTTTCTGGCATTGGTGTGGGGAATGACAAGTGTACAGGGTGTCTACTCCAATAATACATTCATAGAAGTCATGACCACAGTGTTACCAGGACAGCCTCAAAGTTATATTTAGCCCTAAAGTTATATTTAACTTCCTCACTGGTTACTTTGCCTAGACCCAAGGTTGAACTTGTGTGTCCCTTCTCCCCAGTAGACCAGGTATGACAGTAACTTGGGCACCCATATCCAACAAAGCCATGAAAGTTTGTGTCCCTCCTTTCCTTTAGTTCTCCGGAAAATTCCAACAGGGATATTGGGTCTATGGTCCTTTTGGAAGAGAGAGACCATGGCCCCATCTTTAAGAATTTTTCTCCTTAAAACAACTTAGATCTGGGTAGAAGGGAAAGGTAGGCAGGAACCAGGAGATGAAAGACACAGACACCCATTGTTTTTTGTCCTCCCAAAGCCATGTGCTGGACAGCAAAATCATCACTGCCCATACCCCCATTTCAACTTTGAGGACTTCTTATCCAACAGCCATGTCCACAAAATGATGGCCAAGAGAAGCTGCTATATACAGTCTTTATGAATTATTCCATACATTCTTTATAAATAGTTCAATATGTGCATTGTCATTTTTCTATAACACCTTAAATGGTAAAAACAGGTAATTTCAAAAAAAATTTCTCTCAGGTAAGGATAAATAATAGTCTATCAGCTTACGGCTAGAACTTTTCATACTTCTCTCTCTGGGTTAATTGTATTGAATAGGGTTCAGTACTTTGAATATTACTTTGTGAGTTCCTTATCTTCTATCTCATGCTAGTGTCTAAAAGTAAAATGATTTTAAGTGATGCCAGAGAGAATAAACCTAACATTTTAAATATTTATTAGTATGGAGAACATTTAACTTTAAAAATTAATGACTCTATAAATTTTACTTTAGAGTTAAAATGTGCCTCTAAGCAGTATTTTTCAAGAACTGTGGAAGAGCTTGATTATGATGGGAATGACAAGCAGAATCTGAGACTACTGTTCTTGCACTTTCTTAAACTCAGGATAGTAACAGATTGTAGGAAATGGAGCTCAGGATATTCTGAAAAATGTAGCCTCAGGAAACAGAACCAGTTACAATGTGGAAACATTTCAACTCCAGCTTTCTAGTAGAAATAATCAGTAGGTTCAAGGAGAACCAAAAGTTGGATGCATAATCATACTTGGTAATACTGACACAAATGTTAGCAATAACAAAGTAAGGTGGAATGCATAAAATGATAAAGTAATGTAGTAGAATTATGTTCTTGTCAGATTAGAACACAGGAATAAAGGTTGACAGGTTAACAAGTCAGAACCAGGACCTTCGATACATAAAAAGGAAGAGAAGGAACTGATGACTCAGGGAACATACTTCACCACACAAATTAGGAAGGAAAAAGCAGGTCAAAAGCTATGAAAAAGGATAGTTCACGATGAAGAAAAGTGTTGTCATAATAGCATGGGAATTCTACAGAGAAGACAATTTCTTAGTAGAAACACATGTGGAGATGAACTAGAATGGGTATGAGGTTCCGGAAAATGAGGAATGTTTCCATAAAAGGGATCTAAACTCTCATCCAGCCACATGCTTCTTAAAAGAAACATGGCTTCAGAAACTTTCCTGGCCCAAGCTCCAAATGTATATAATGTCATCTCTGAAGAGGCAGAAGGGCATCAGTTTAAATTGAAATGTCCCATATCTCTGCACTTACCACCTCTCCTCTGGCTTAAGGGATATTTTGATTTGTAAAAAGACTGTAGAAATTTGATAAGAATAAAGATAGAAATGTCACAATAGAATTTTAAAGTACATCTGTTTAATTATAACCATTAATGCAATATCTGCCTCAATAATTTAATTCTGATAATAAAAAAAATGATAGTATAATGATGGTTTAAAGCTGGTTCAATTCCAATTTTTAGAGGCTTATTTATCAAGAGTGAAAATAGAACACTATTAAAAAATAGCTAAAAAGTTAACGTGTCCTAGTGCTTAATGTTTCTGTAACTGTTGGTAAGGCTTACATCTAAATTTGATGCAGAATTCTTAATGGCACTGAAATAGTTCTTTTCTCAGACACAGGGTACATACTGGTACTATGAGTCTGGAAGAGACTGGCTATGGGTACCACTCCTTGTCTTCAGCTGTGACTGCGCAATATCAGCAAGTGCACTTTGTATCTTTTCCAGAAGCATGTCCCCTCGATAAACAACATCCTCCAGACATGTAGCAGCTTCGTGGTTTTCTTCTTCCAGCTTATACAAGCTAGCAGCCTTTGTAAGACACAAATTTAAAATCTTTTGAGAGAAAAACTTGTAGTGAAAGCTAAGAAGGTAAAAAAAAAAAACAAAAAAACAAAAAAACAAAACTGTAGAAGTATTTACATTTAAATCTGGATGACTCTGCAACCATTATGATAGATTTTTTTGGTGGCAGAAATTCTAAAATCAGATAACTTTTAAGAGTTTTCCTTGTATGAATTATTTAAAAGAATGAAATTTTCAAATCTCCAGATGTCTACATGTGACTCTCTTCCATACTGCTTTGGGACACTACTATGCTACTCCACACCCAGAATGCCACCCTCCTCTTATTCTCTGCTAGGAAAAGAGCCAAATAGAGGAAAACAGGAAGTTTCCTTATAACTCAAAATTAGACAACTATATGTATTCAGCAAGGTCTTTAACAGACTGCAATACTTCACAACAAAACTTCCATTTTAAAATTTAATCTTGGGGCACCTGGTGGCTCAGCTGGTTGAGCATCCAAACTTTGGCTCAGGTCATGATCTCATGGTTTGTGGGTTCGAGCCCTGCATCAGCTCTCTGCTGTGTCAGCACACAGCACAGCTTGCTTCAGACCCTTTGTCTCCCTCCCTCTTTCTGTCCCTCCCCTGATCATGCTCTCTCTCTCTCTCCCTCTCTTGAAAATAAACATTAAAAAAATAAAAGTAAAAATTTAAAAAAATTAATCTTAAGGAAACTTTGAATATTATAACAAAAAATGTTAAATCTCCTTTGGGGCACTTGGTTGGATCAGTCAGAGCAGCATGTGACTCTTGATCTCAGGGTCATGAGTTCAAGCCCCACACTGGGTACAGAGATTACTTTAAAAAATAAATCTTAAGGGGCGCCTGGGTAGCTCAGTCGGTTAAGCGTCCGACTTCAGCTCAGGTCACGATCTCGCGGTCCGTGAGTTCGAGCCCCGCATCGGGCTCTGGGCTGATGGCTCAGAGCCTGGAGCCTGTTTCAGATTCTGTGTCTCCCTCTCTCTCTCTGACCCTCCCCCGTTCATGCTCTGTCTCCCTCTGCCTCAACAATAAATAAACTTAAAAAAAAAAAA